ATAAACTGATCAAATCCTGTCTCTTACATTTTGATAAATGGAGTACTGGCTGCAGAGCTTGAAGGGTATGTTCCCAATATTATCGGGGTCCGTAAATTTCAAAGACTTTACCTGCCTATTGTAAGTTTCTAATGGTCTCCAAATATAGAATATTATTCTCTAAGGCAAGACTAAATGTTTTACCATTAGGGGAACTAGCACACAGGTTCTCAGGAATCCCCTTCTCTGGGTGGTTTTGTGATTGTAAATGCGGGGATTTAGATACCATCTGGAACTTTTTAATTGATTGTAACAAATACACTTTGGCCCATGATAAAACGGATTAAAATTTATATCCCAAAATGGAGTTTTGCTCCAAAACAAGAGGTTGTGGCCAAGTTACGAGCAGACACTGATCCAAATGTGGCTCTTGCAGTTGCAAAATTCCTGTCTGTGGCATTTAATGGTATTACCTTTTAATGTGAAACTTCGTATTCTGATGATTCGCACTGCATATATTTATAAATTTATATTTATATATTTTGTTTGTTTGCTTATGACCTGTTGGTTTACAAGCATGAACAAATGACTGGGTGACTGTGTAGCTCTTAAAGGCCCCAAGAACTCCCACAGTCTGGGAGATGGTCAACCACTTTTCATGGGTGACTCGGCTTTCTTCCCAAATGACCCCAGTCTCCAAGATCAGGGCAGTCAGGGCTCTCTCCTTCTCCACCAAGTGCTTCAGCATGGAACAGGTAGAGTTCCAGCAAGTGCTCAGGCAGTGCTCCTGTCAGTATCTGCTTCTTGCACAGCAGATGGGTGTACTTCAGACTGCGAGAGAAGTGACCCATGATGTGCCGGCATTTCTGGAGATGCCTAAACTCGCAGGTTTCAGCATCCAAACTGGGATTTTCTGCAGAACACAGACCAAAGGCATCCTTAACCACCAGGTGGAGAAGGTGGGCTGCATAGTAAATAAACCTGTGCCACTGTCCTCATGTTCATGCCACCATTGGTCAACATGAAGCCCATGGAGAGGTCCCTGGCTGATATATTGCCCACTTTGTGTGGCCTGTCAAGTACCTTGGCATGCAGCAGAGCCTGCAATAGCTGGCCCGATGGCCCTGATACCTGCCGAACACTAGTTTCCCCACTCCCACCCACAACATCGCTGAGTTGCCACCGGTGCGCAGTCAGTGACAGATATGTGTCATATGCTTGAGAGGCGGTCCAGATGTCAGACGTGTGAAGTACACTGTTCTCCCATGAGCACAGGACCATTGTGCCTTCACGTGTTCCCTGGCAGCCCTGTACAATGAAGGCAACATGATCCTACTAAGTGTGGTGCGAGCAGGGGACGTGTACCGGGGATAGGCATCCTGGAGCAGCATCCGGAAAGCAGTGCCTTCAACCAGAGAAGGGGCATCTGCCTACAGTAACTATTATGGCTCAGCCAGACCCTTGCTTTTATCTACTTAATTAATTCAATTTGTATTCCACCCTACCCACAAGCGGGCTCAGGATGGGTTACAAGTCACACAGATAACAATATAATTTAGACAATTGCAATAATATCACTATTAGAACAAAAACAGCAATCAGAGTGGATTTGCCTCGACAATGATGCTCAGTTTGGGCTGGTCAGGGATTAGCATTATCAGCAGCGATTTGGAAAGATGGATTTGAATGTCTGCTGCCTCATCCGAAGGCCTGGCATAACAGCTTTGTTTTGCAGGCCCTGCAGAATTGTAACAAATTCCACAGGGCCCTGATCTCAAGTGGGAGTTTGTTCCACCAGGCTGGGGCCAGGGCAGAGAAAGCCCGGACCCTAGTTGAGGCCAGCCGGACATCCTTGGGGCTGGGGATAACCAGAAGATGTTGATTAGTTGAGCATAACGCTCTGCAAGGCACGTTTGGGGAGAGATGGTCCCAAAGATATGCATTTCCCTGGCCGTAGAGGGCTTTAAAGGTCAACACCCAAACCTTGAACTCGTTGCGAAGCACTGACAGACCAAATATGAGCCCACACAGGCATCGCCATCAGCACTCATGCTGCTGCATTCTGCAGTAGCTGCAGTTAACAGGTCAAGTTCAGGGGCAGCCCCATGTAGAGCGAGTTACAATAATCCACTCTGGAAGTGACCACTGCATGGACCACGGTAGCTAAGTCTTGGGAAGTGAGATAGGGAATCAACTGCTTGACCAGCTACAGATGATAGCATGCCAATCGAGCAACAGTCGCAACCCGATCCTCCATTGAAAGGGAGGCATCCAGGAGTACCCCCAAGCTCTTTACCCTCAGTACTAGCCTCAGTGGTATCCCGCTGGGGGTTGGGAGCTGGATTCCCGATCCCACATTGTCACAATTCAGGTACACGACCTCCATCTTTGCTGGATTTAATTTCAATCAGCTTTGTTAAAACCAACCAGTCATAGCCTGTAGTGCCCTGTCCAGCACCTCTGGGGCAGTTTGACCAGCCGTCCATCAACAGATAGAGCTGGGTGTCATCAGCATACTGATGACAGCCAAGCCCATACCTCCAGACCAACTGGGCAATGGGGCCCATATAGATCTTAAAATAGATCTTAAAAAACATCAGGGAGAGGATAGTCCACTGTGTCTGTATATATTGTGACTAAAACATCTCTGAGTTAGAGTCTGGGACCTGCAAACGTACACACCCTGACGTGAGCCTCTTCTTCTCTCCCCCCCCCCCTTTTTCCAGGGTAAAGGCAGCAGTATTGCTACTGTAGTAAGACAGCTCGCTCGCTGAAATCAGACTTTTTTATTTAAACAAAGTATAATTTAAACATCTGGGAACATAACACATTTTAAGTACTTTTCCAGTAGACTAAGCATGAATGTACATAATTTTATACTACTTGCCAACTGTGTCACAAGTTAATCAAGTTGTTCATTAAACCTAATTCTCTGAGTAACCCAAGCACACAAAAAACTTCTGAGGCTGTGAGATGACATGAATACACAGGTCTGGCTCACACTGGAGGTCTAAAGAGGGTGACTTCCTTGTTCTTGACGGCTGCTATAAAAAAAACCCACCCATTTTGTCAAAGGATGAGCAAACATGCTCGCTGAGTCTGTAGCTGGTCAGAATCAACTGTTGCTACAGCCAGATGGAGACTTCTCCCCACTGAGAGATTCTTGAACCAGGCACAACAGATATGCCACTTCTTAAGTACGAGTCACTGCATCTTTCAAAATGTACTTTCTTTTTCAATAACTCTAACATACATAAAATACTAAAAACATCTCAGGCAGAGTCCACAGCAGTAGAGACAGAGCTTCCGCCAGCTACTGTTCTCAGCAAAAAGTCATCTAAAAGCCAGAGGATTATCAGAATGGGCATCCAACACAGCACAAGACATTAAACAGAAACGTGAAGAGCATCCTGGTGCGGTCATGGATTTTAAATCCTATCTCTATTACACATACATGTATCTACAGATATATGTGTATATATACATTCAATTATATAACATGAGCAAATAAAGTATAATCTAATAAAAACTATTTAAGCTATGACAACAAACTTGTAACAGAAAAAAACAGGTAAAATATTCACAGTAGATACATCTGTATTACCTTTACTACAAACTGTTAAGCCACTAAAGTGCCATGTTGTTTAGACAGAGAACATTCTTGTGTTACCTAACAAATATTTTTCTTATATACACCAACAGTGTAATTGGCTTTAATTTATATTCCATAAATTGTGCTGGGACTCACTCATTTGAGACTGGGCAGAGATTATTACAGCCAAATATTGAATAGTTGCATTAAAAAAAATAGCTTTGTCCAAGTGTGTGGGTGCTAGATCCACAGTTTACCTGGAAGTAAGCACCAATTACCTATTTCAAATTAAGTTTGGAAGGGAAGGGAAAGTGATTCTTGGGCTATTTTTGAGAGGGCAGATCTGAGAAAGTAGAAACCACTTTGGGTTTGAAGTGGAAATTTCCACACCTAAGCCATGTCAGAATCATTACCTGCTTTGGTCTTCAGCTACAAAGCGATGGGAGTAATTCCCTCTACAGCAATGGTCTGCCATAACCTGAGATAGTTCATGGAAGGGCTGCATTTTAATGTCGTATCCCTGAGGCTGGTTAACTTTTGCTGCTTAGAATTACAGGCAAACTTACACAAAATGACAATGACTTAACATTTTAATTCAACAGTAATTAGGATTTTTTATCATGGAAGAGAAACACTACATCTGTCTAACTGATATCAAAGAAATGACCAGTATACACTGCGTAAGAAATGTAAAAAATGTGCTGGAAAACATCCAAGCAACAACTAGCACATGACTATACGAACATAAAAGCAGTTTCATCTACCTTTTTGGCATTTCAAAAAATATCAAATCAAGATACAAAATGACAAAGAATATTAAAAAGGATGGTGAATAAGCACACATTCAGTGCAATCCTAAGTAGCCTTCTAAATTCACTGAAGTCAGGGAGCTTAGAAGGATATAGTTCTGCTTAGGACTGCACTCTATGGCCAGCTCATTGCCAGCATTGTAGATCTGAGCCCCAACTTTTCAAGCTCATGGTGGGAGGTCAAGAATACAGCAAAACAAAATAAATTAATAATTCCATTAAAGATATTGATATTTAAGAAAATGTGTTTTCAGTTTTTCCACAAATGAATGTTTATCTGTTCATTCGTATTCACGTCCACTACTTGTACTCAAATGTAGAAATCCATCTAATCAACTTTTACCTAGAAAGTAAAAGTATAATTAATGTAATAAAATACAAACAATGGCATATATATTTACTTAAAAGTTTATATATATAATAGATACGTAGACAAACATATCGTCTGTAAAATTCCGATCGTTAATGAAGCTTTACCCTCCTTTTTAAACATAATATATACTGGTTTAAAACAGCATCAAGAATTAATTTGGAATATGAATTCTTCCCCTCTACCAAACATACTGTTGCACTGCAGCTTTAATTTTGCAAGCTTTTTTTTTTTTTTAACTGACCTGGAATTATCCATCTTTGGTTTCTAAGGCTTGGCTCATATGCAGTAAACCCATGTTATTATGTCCAGGAGCATAATGAACTACAGCCTAATGAGAGTTCATATGGAGAGATCATTATGAACCAGCACTTCCACATGGACCATATACTTCTGGGGCCAAATGAGACATGATGGCATCAGTCCTGCATGTCTGGAACAGTTCACCATGAAATCTGGACAAGGGTCGGGATGGGGTGCAAATTTAAAGTACAATAAAGGCGGGGAAGAGCTGAATCTCTTCCCTGATTTTCCCCTACCCCAAAGCCACTTTCTGAAAAAGCTGCTTTCCTCCCAGTGGGAACCCAGAAAAAAAAAACAATAATAGGAGGAAAGTGGCTAAAAACGGTGTGTGTACACACCCCGGTACGAAAAGAAGACTTTTTCTGTCTGACGAACCTTGTTAGTGTCATGGCGTGGGGATATATGCCCTCCAGGAATTTCCTGGAGAAGTTGGCAAAACACCCCACTGGGACTCCTAGTGCAAGAAAGGGCAAATAACAGGTAGGCAACAGTCACAGTAAAGGGCAGAATGAGAATGTTCTACTATACGTTCTGCTATATGTTTCCTCAGGTGACTAAAGGACTAACAAAATATTGCTAACCTGCTCCCAACACCACTACAGAGGATTACAGCACATGGATAGACCCCCTGCTGTTTAACTGACCTGGGGAATGAGCCACATCTGATGCATGGATGATGATGCCCACACCAAGCAATCAGCTTAGGATCCCCAGCCTGAAACCAGAGCAACACTACAACAGAGGCTTGACTCAGGCAGTGATGCAGCTGGAAGATTGACTAGAGTAAGGCAAACACACAGTAGTGGTGCAAATGGACATCACCTTCTTAACCCTGACACCACTAAAAGCAGCTTCCAACAAGGAACAGAGAAGTACAATAAAGTACTATAAATACTACGGACTACAGCACCAGTATCCTGTTCATAGCTGCGTTCCCTATGCAAGTCTCTGGGTGGGTGGTATATTACCTACCAGTCATGTCTGCCTGTTAGTGGTTGTATCTCTCTGTTGTTATTGTCATTTTAGTTATAGCACACAACTGTGGATCTGTGGGCACAGGACTGGGCAGGTCACTGAGGATCCCAGCTGAGATTGAGAGAGAGACTGTCTATCACCGGGCTGAACCAGAAAGGCTTGTGTTAAAAAATGCCTAATCCCAACCCTTTTAAACCTAACAGTAGAGTGGGGCTTCAATAAGACATTATGGTCTCTATAGGAACTTCAGTAAGACATGATGGTCCTTTAAAGGCTGTCTGTGGCACTGGTGTGATCCCACAATCTAGACAGCTCCCAGGAGCAAGTCAATCTCTATAGAATTTATGCACGCACTTTCTTCAACAAGGGCAAATGATTAGCTCCTGCATAACTCCAAAGAGATGTTCCCTTTAAGTAATCCTGATGGTAAGGCTGCCCATCTCAAAAGCTGACCTGCAAACTCCACCCCAAGGTTGCTGGAACAGGGTACAGACAATAGCACCCCCCACCCTGCCCTAGTGATCCTGCCACAGGCAGGTACATGTTTTCACAGTGACATCACCTACTAGTTTATGCTCTTAACTGTAGAGGTCAGGTATGAAACCTGAGACCTTCTGGATACAAAGCTGATGCTCCACCACAGAGCAACTGCCCCACCCATGCTATGCTAAAATCCAAGAAAACCACAACAACCTCAAGAACTGTGACCTTGCTTTGCTCCAATATGTGTGCTCCACTATGCTCCAATATCTCAAGAACTGTGACCTTGCTTTGCTCCACTATGTGTGTTTGTCCTTCTACCCACTAGATACAGCTGCAGGTACAATGCATCAAAGCCTGTTAAAACAGTTATTCAATACCCTAATGTAGTCCTTATGCTGCCACCCAGATATCTGAAATCACCTCAGAAAATACATGAAATCTGCGTAACTGGTTATCTTACCTTCACTTTTGATGGCAACAACTGTCCAGAAAGCCCTGAGGCTCTTGAATATCAAGCCATCAAAGCAAGTATTTATTAACATTCTTCTAACTGGTACAACTTTTAGGTCAGGATCTGAACCATGCTTAGTGGTCATCTTTTTTGTTGCTGATTTTTACGTTTTAATTTTTCAACAGCAAATATCACATCATTGATATTTTAAACTGTTTCTAAAACAGGTTCTTAGTTTCAAAAGCAAATTGCCATGTGCATGTAAAAATGCCATTCAGCAAACAAAAGTCCAAAGCCCCCTTGGACATGTACACCAAGCGGTGAGTGAGTGTTTGGATCCCACTCTTAAATCAGATTTGGCCTGATATAATTCTCACTTAATACATATAAAGGGCAAAATTATTTTAACGTACATTTGAAACTGACCTTTCTAGCACAGTGTTTACTTGAAGGGTTCTCTTCAGTAATTTTCATCACATCTAGAATGGTACTCAATCCAGAAGGGTCAGACATCTCATGTGTCGCCTTTGTGGATACATCTGTGGGATAAGTATTCTTCAGTCCCTCTCTGCGACAACATTGGCCAATGGAGGAGCTGTTATACTTCAGAGGATCCTCATTTTTCCTTCTTTTGCTAGATAAAGCTGATTTCTTCCGCTGCTGTCTCTTAGAGAGTTTTTTAGAGCTGCGCCCTCTTGGGCATTTGTTACACGTATACTTGAACAGCAAGTCTTTTTTTTTGTGGTACTCTTCCTTTCCTGGCTGTAATATTATCCTTACATCAGAGCTTTTCTGACTACCCATTTGCAATGGATCGTGCAAAATCTGTGAATTCAATACATTAAATTCTACCCAATTAATTGACATGAAAGAATACACAGCACATCCAGAAGCAACCAATACATCTACTGCACTGGTCCCCTCACATAACACATCTACCTCCATCTTCATCCCACAGTACTGTCTGAACTGGAATAGAAGACCTTGTCTATTAAGAAACTGCTGAATTTTACGTTTTGCCTCATCATTCCACTGCTCCCCAAGAACAGGTGACACTCCAAATAAACAGCAAGGATAAGTCAATCGAGGTAAATTCACAAGCTTTTCTGGGATAACTTTTAACCTGTGGAACTCTGAGATGGGGATGGGAGCCGATATTCCATCATCTACAAATGTAAGCATGAACTGATCTGAGATTTCAGAAACTTCAACTCTATTCCATTTTTTATTAGGCTCGGTCTTTATCAAGCAGCTTGCACCAATACAAAGAAGATTCTTTGGCATAGTTGGCAAGTTTTCTGGGAGATCAGAGAGCAGCTTAAACAATAATTCCATAGTCTTAAATGAGTCTTCTAACTGGATGCAAAAATTTGAAGGATTACTGACTGATGTGACAAAACCAGGATAATGCCTATTGTTCTGAAACTTTGCCCATGAAATTGAACTCCATCTAAATGAATACTTGGGCACTGTCATTTCCACATTATTTAAGCCTCCCAATAAGTTACATTTCTCTAACATTCCTTGATTAAATATTTGAGGCCAACATTCAAGCAACAGAATCCCATTCACTAAAATGTCTACTTGCCAAATTAAAGGAGATTCTAGGTACCTCAGAAATAAAATCTTTATCTCCTGACCAATTAACATCTTCAGGACTCTCTCAAAAGCCAGGCTATCTACATTTCCAATCCAAACCCATTTACAAGGTACTGCACTTCTGGGAATAGTTCTCATTTTGCTACTCAGCCTCCTTGTATCACTGAATGATACCATTTCGTATATTCCCAAATCCATGAAAAAAACCAGCATGCTCTCCTTATTCATAAACTTTTTTATAACTTCAGACCGATGCCATTTGAAAGTTATTTTTGATTTTGTCAGGCATTCTAATCCTTCTTGAATATTTTCCACTGCAACTGGCATTTGCTCTGCTTCTTGAGTAGTCATCATATTCAGATTAAGTAATGTTTGCACATCCTTATTTAATTTTACATAGAAGTACCCATTTCTGGAAATGTGACCTATTTCAGCATTTTCTAGCTGTCCAGGGTTTATTTTTTGGTAGGTAATTTTAGGAAGACTTGCCCAAGTAGAGCCAGACTCATATTCTTTATATATGATTTGATAACTTTGGTCATTACCATCAGTACCTGCATCTGCCACTGACAGCAACGTTATGTCTTCTGCTGCATGTAACACAGGCATGTTCTGTAAACTTACACTGATTTCTGTCTGCATTAAATCCTCAAAAACAGATATTCCATGACAGAAAAGATCAACTGCCCATTGTTCTCCATGTTGTTGTAGAAACTCACAAATTACTCGCTGATTATTTACTTTACTGACAAAATAGGCAATAATATCCTTACTCCAGTTTTTACTAGGCAACGCACGTTTTGCATGACTAATGAAACAGTGTGCACTCAGTCTTGGTAAATTTACGAATTTTTTCCCTATCTGATAGATTTTGGATGCATTCACAGTTGACGAGTTACCATAGTCAATGAATTCTGCTTCACAGAATGCTTCTGATTTAACTTCTCTAACAACAGCTCTGTATACGCAATGATCATCTTCATACTCTGCTAAGACTAGGTCACCTTCCTCGATGTCAGCTTGTGGCTCTAAAACCAGTATGCAGCTATTCAGTTCTTCAGCTAGCTTCAAAATTTTATCCTCATTTTCTTCAAGATGAATATAGAAATTTGATGGACTCGTTACAAAGGAAACATAAACCGTAACTTTGGAATTTGGCTGAATGTTACATTGTACAAGATCGCTGTACTTTTGCTTAGCAGAAGAACTCTTTTCTTGCCTTGAAGGGCTTAGTTGATAGCTATGTGATTCAGTCATATTATTTGTAGGCATCTCTTTGAATTGTAATGATGGGTCATCACCAAGTTCTCCACTTGTACTTTTATCTTTCTCTGCCAAAGTGTTTTGCAAGACCAATTCTGTATTTTCACAGGCTACTGGAACTTGTACAGACCTACTGCACTGTTTCTGCAGATCAACCACAGTTTCTTTTCCATATTCGGCGTATACGTCACCATCATTCTGATAACAAGAATTTATTTTATTCTTGGTTTCTCTTTTAACTGCAGTTATCTCTTCTTTAGGTTTCTCATTTTGGTCCTCAAGAGGCTTTTCTGTGTCTCTGTTTACATATTTTGGATCCTCATTACACTCTGTTGTACTCTCTAATAATAATTCTTTAATCTGCTTACTTATTTGTAGATTCTTATCATACAACTCCACACCAAGCTGGCCATCAGATTCTTTAGCTATTATTACTGCCTTTAGTTCTTTACCTAAGAAATTCTTCTCAAACCATTTATTTATTTCAACTGGAATTTCAGTATCTTTGAGATCCGACAGGTAACACTTGACAGCTTGCATAGGGGTGAACAATATTTCTGAAGCATGATCTGGAATATTAATCAATTCATCCTTTGCCACCACTTGTTTATTCCCAAAGTCCACAAAGTATACAGGCACGTAATCTGATGATCCTACAGGAGATGCCAAGACCCTGTAAAAGAGGCCATCTTCAAAATATTTGGCTAAGTATAATCTGCAGGTGTTTGTTTGGCCTACACAGCTTGCCACATGACTGATCTCTGTGATTTTCTGAAACAGGTTATCAATATCATCTGCATTTCTATTTAGTTGGCAATAGAATTTTGTAGGGCTGTGTATATGGGTTACACACACCTCCTCTACATTTCCAATGTTTATATCAAAAGATGAATAGTAAAAACTATACAAAGAGAATGACGGTGCAAACGATCTTGGGCATTCGAGAGAGCAGAACTGGTCATGGCCACAGTCTAAAAGAAACTGCTGTACTCTGACAGATGGAGTCCACAGATCAACAACATTATATAAGCAGCCAGGGTTTTTAATAATAAGGGCTGAAATGGTGCAAGTCAGCAGTCCACTGGAAGAAGAAAGGAAGGATTTAAAATCATTACATGCCTCTGCAGTCCAATTATCTGGATCAAACTTTAACGACTGAGTTACACTACTAAGACAACATCTGAATGCTTGACATTCCAACGTCAGAAAATCAGGAAGAATAGCCTGAACGTCTTCCAGCAAAACACTTACTTGATTCCCATAGTCTACTAATACAACTTCAATTCTGGTTTTGGATATGTATTTCAGCATACAAGCTCTGTACCACTTTCCATCCTTAGAATCTCTCACAACACAGGCAACCTGTCCATTTTGATATGGTATGGTTTGAGTATTATAACAAACCTGAATTTGCTTCATTAAGTTACTCAGCTCTGGTAATTTAGCCTGCAGCTGGCATGAAAAGTCACCTGGTGAAGTACTATGACAACATGTAACACTGAGGACAGTTCCTGGTTTAAACCGATGTTCTTTGTAAGGGCAGACAGTGCTACTTTCCCCAGACATTTTCCCATATCTCTCACAAAGTATTGTCTCCCATCGTGGGAAATCAGCAGCAGCCTTTTTTGTCAAAGGATAAGTATTTAGCAATTGATTAACATTTCTACGTACCACTCTGTTGTTATTCTGCATAAGGTTTTTACACCGCATGTTTTTACTTCTAAGTTTTGAGCCTTGCTCTTTAGAATCTTTTACAGTGTTCAGCAGCGGATCTGGCTTTACTTGCCAACATTCAGCATATCCAGCCTGAACCATAGCTGTGAGAACATCAGCTTGCTCGGAGCCATTCATACACTGCATACTGACACTATACTTATCATTTTGCTTTCCAACGACATGAAGTGAGACTGGTTTGCCATACACCAAGTTTTTAAAGAAGTCTGTTTCCTTTTTAATCCATATATCTTCAACTGGAAATGCACTAGCAAGCGAACAACATATGGCTAAAGCTGGTAGCTCCTGGAACTCTGGAAGAAGAGTTATTACATCAAAAATTGACACTGTTTCAGTATTTCCAAAATCCAAAAAATAAACAGTAATATCACTGTCAACCACTTCCTTGATGACAGCCCTGTAGAAATGCATGTCCTTATTGTAGCGTGCACAGCACAGCATTCCAGGTTCTGGTTTTTCAAGAATTTTATCACCCGTTTCACCTGTATCATATACATCTGAAACTCTATCCATCAAGGTTTCAAATTCATCTACATTATCGTCTGTTTGAACCCAAAAAATTGAAGGATTCACTACATACTCCACAAAAGCAACACAGACAGAGTCTATTTTCATTTCTGCTGTCTTGTAAGGTGTAGCTAAAACAGCATTTAAGGAACAGCCCTTCGTATTTGAACAATTTCCGGATTGTAACATATTCCTGTGAGCAGGTTCAGCAAAGACAGGGCTGACATCAGGAATTCTCATATCCCCATACATGTTAGCCATTTTTGTCTTGAAGGAAGGACCATACTTTGGAAGCACATCATTTCTCTGTGGCAGACATTCACCATCTGTAAGTGTTTCATGCTTACGCAGTGTAACATAATACAAATGTTCATTAGCATTGAATAAGTCAATGTGGACATAAACCATACTTTGCCTTAAGAGGGCCTCCTTAAATTCTTGTAGCTGACTGCTTCTTACAGAATCAATCTGATCACTAAGACATGATAGAACACAAGGAAATGAAAATGTAGGTACCGATATGAATTTTGACTGAAGCTTCAGAACATAAGTGGAAGGCACAGCTTCACGACTGCCAATGTCCACAAACCAAACCTTCACACTGTTATCAGAGAGAAGCTGTTGTATCACTCCTCTGTACCAATGACCATCTTTTCGTTTGGCTGCACAGAGGACTCCCAAACTGTCACAAGATGGAATATTTTCTCTATTAATGGTTTCATAATATGAAGACATACTTCTTGTCAACGCATCAAGCTCTGTTAGACGTTGCAGTGGCTGACAATAAAACTTACTTGGACTGACTGCCACTGATATTTTTGCTAGCTCTACTCCACCAACTGATAAAAGTGGCTGTAGCCAACCAAAAATGGGCTGACAATCTGGTTGAATCCTAGCATTACAGGAAACTGAATCTGGTCCTGTGTATTTCTTTTGAATTAAATCTGACATCTGTTTATATAAGGGTTCTTCCGGCAATTCAGCTAACAGTTCTACTATAAGATGGAATGAGTCTCCATTAACAAGTTTTCCTAATTTCAGTTCTACCACATCGCTAGTAACTTTTGGCACATCGAGAAGAAATGTTTGGTGTGGCATAATGGCTTGTACGTGGCCATTAATTTGCAAGTTTTTTAAGGATGAAAAGTAATTCAGAGCCTTGGGAGACCACTTTTCTTCAACAGGAAGTATATTTGCAAAGATTCCACAAACCATTTTTGGAGGAAGCTGAAACAATTCATCAATGGCAGACGCAATGCAAGTATCACAAACTGCCAGTTTTTCCCCGTTGTCTATCAGAAATACTTCATAAATGTGGTTCTTCTTTTGTATTACTCTTCCTCTGTACCATTCCCCACGATCTGGATCTTCTACTAAACAAAACTCATCAGACCCAATGCAGTCTTTCACTTTGGATACCTGTTGTATTTCATTTTGTAATATATGGTAGTCAAACTCACAGTCTGTGTTATAAGAGCCCTGAAATTTCACAAGAATGTCCTTTGGGTGGCAGTATACGTTAGTTATCTTCAGATCTACATCTATGAATTCTGTTGGCGATAAATCCATTCCACCTAGAAAATCAGCACAAAATATGACATTCTCAATAATATCTACTGTCTTTTAAGTTTAATGCTGTTAATTTGATAAAGCCTGTCCATACTATTTCAATATTTTTGTTTCCCCTGAGCAGTGTCAACAGCATGCATACACAAGCATACACTTAAAACCAGCATTTTATAAATTTTTATTCACATTATTTAAAGCCCACCCTTCTCACTGGGACTCAAGGTGGATTACATAAAGTAAGACAATACAATCAGTGGGATGGGACATCTAGTCAACAATCCAAGAGGATATGGATTGTAGAAATCTGGAATCTGGAATTAACTGAATAAGGCAAATGATAGAATGCACTGGTTATTTATTTTAAAGGAGCTGAAGATATCTGCAAAATGAATCACAGCCTAGAGCTGTCTATATTTTCTTTTTTCTGTATATAAAATGTGGAAAATTTAATAAATAAATTAATTTTAAAAAAGAAAGAAATCTGGAATCAACCAGAAATCTGAAAACAAGTATATTTCTCAATAAGTACCTTTCTGAAAACTATCTTTCTTTTGCTACCGTACTGCCCTATTACGTGTGTAGAAAAGCCCTCTTGGGACTGAGGTTACTCTTCAAATAACAAGACAGTTCTATAATTTCAAAACTTTTTTACATAGGTATGGGGTCGCGAAGAGTCGGACTCGACTGTGCGACTGAACAACAACAAAAAATCTTTCACTAACAAGCCCTTCGTCTCATCAGACTGTGGCTCACTTATATAATGAAGGGGATTTACTCACAAGCTAAAAGGGAAAGAAGCCAACGACAAGGGTGAATAAAAACCAATGATCTTTTTGATTTTTTTTTCTTTAAATAGATATTTCCTCAAACAGCATTATACCAAAAAATCCTATGTAAAAATAGTTTTAGGTGCATTATACCTCAAAGATATCTCATTATGGAACAGGCATTATTAATTTTTAATTCCATAATTTGAGACAATATTTTCATGTGGTGTTCTAAGTTTTATAAGTGAATTCCAATAATTCATGGATGGGGGGGTTCCTGGAGTGAGGATGGTATCAGCTGGCTGTGTTGGCTGCCAGAAGCTCAGCGATAGCCAGAGGCATCAAGCTGGCACGCTGGAAGACTCCTCTGGGAGATGCGTGCATGTCTGCTGTCAACAAAGGGACATAGTGACTGAGGGGGAGGAGCTTGGCCTCAGGGCAATGCAAGTTAACGGAGTATTCTGGATAATAAAGTGCAGCAGCATAATAAAGCCTTTACTGTATATGTTTACAGAATACACAGCAATTATTCTCTAATGCTGAAGAAATAATCTTCACGTTCTGAGTTACTTAAACCTTGTTTTAAGGAAGCATTTCACTCATTCCAAAAAAAGCAAAACATTTCTTTTTTTCAGAATTCCTCAATATTTACAATGTCTCCACTGGAAATATTGAAGGAAAATGCTGAAGTGGGAAACAGGTTTGAGGCTTTCCCCCCCTCAAGTTTTTCCTGGCCTTCATGTCTCTCAGTGTGAAAAAAAAGGACACAAGGGAGAAGCACTGGGGTGAAGGGGGGGGGGATAAAGGAGCACACAGCCCAAAAGTATATAATGTATATGGCACCAAGATACGTCTAGTGTTACTTCTGAACCTACATCTAACTTGTGAACCTTTAAGAATCAAGGTGGAGGAGTAAGAAGAATTTTTAAAGTTATTTACTTTATTTGTAGTCTGCCTCTCTGTTGGAGCCTTAGCCAGAAGCTCTGAAGTTCGCAGAAATTCCAGGAACGATATGCAAGGTCCACGTTTGCCTACAAAGAGATTTTTAATAAAGCATCACACTTACAGAAATAGCAGGGCTTCAATCCACTGGGCCTTGAACATACAAAGCAAAGCCAGCCAGAACTCAAGATGAGATACGTAGCTAAAACTAAGCACCTTATACCACAATTGCTGGCTGCAAGTCAAGAATAGCATCATCAAAGCTACATCCTAGATACTGAGAGATCTTGCACCTGGTACTCAGTGGCAGAATAAAACAAATCAGCTTTCTAGATAAGAACTCAGAAGAGTGTGAATGAAAACATTATCTTGGGAGGAGCCTGTCGGCCATTCTCCCAGGCAACTCAGAAACAAAATGAAGCTATATAGGCTATACATTCTCTCAGTGAAAGTCAAGGAAGTTTACACAGTGTAAACCAATGCAATCAATACAATGCAACATCTAATAAACAATGTAATCAGCCTAAAATTACAGAAATTTGAAACGCAGCAAAAATGTATTAGACATTAGTTATGTTAAACAATGCAGAAAATGATCTTAGATAAACAGAAGACAATGCAGTGGGACTAGGATGATACACACATCAACCAGATAATAAATACTGTACACAGTCCCATTCTTTTATAAAACCACCTTCCAGAACCATTCTGTAATTATATATATAAATAAAAACAACTATAACTAATAGTGAAGTCTGGCCCCCATCTGTGGATATCTACATCCGTGGAACAGGGCTACACTGACACTAACTTGGGGTACTCCCCAGGTTTGCAGAAAAAATCTGAAACGTAAAAAAAACTAAACCCATTGGGAGCTTTAATTCCCCCCAGATTTTTTTTAAAAGATGTATTGTCTAAGCATGCACGCACAGACCACACACTTACCAGTTGAGCTGGCAGCAGCCACCACTGCAGGTATCCACTCCAGACCTGACTACCATGGTAGTGGACACCGGGAGGAGCTCCAGGCCCAGCTATCAGCATGGCAGATGCTGGGAGCAGCTCCAAGCCTAGCCATGGTGGCCCAAACACTGGGAGAGGATCCAGGCCCAGACACAGTGGAGGACTCTGGGAGCTGCTCTCCGCTCAGCTGCCATGGCACAGTGCTTTGGGAGCCACTCCAGCCCCAACTGCATGGTGGAGGACTCCAGGAGAGGCTCTGGGGACAGCTGCAGCAGCAGCAGACACTGGGAGTCACTCAGAACTCAGAGCAGCTTTCAGGCACTGTCACTGTTGCCGCTGGGCATAAGGTGGGTTGTGGGGCCTGGAGCAGCCCCCAGTATCCTCCACCACCGCAGCTGGGAAAATTAGGAAACTTGAGGCAGCACTGAATGTTTAAATGTAAGTAGTGGAATGAAAATAATAATGGTAACAATTACTAGATGTAGGTTTGATCAGAAAGCACTACAGTTTTTCTCAGCATCTCTAACTTTCACCCATCACTCCCCATGGTTCTCTTTGCATTCCTTTGGATCCAACCTACTATTCAGAATTTAAAATTGCAATCTACTTACTTACTTGAGAAATAAATAGCATTAAGAACAAGGGATTTACTTAAGGATTGGTAGTGTTACTATGCTACTACAATATATCTCAAGCTGTAGATACACCTACTCAGAGCTCTATTCACATTAATGTTTTGTTACAGAAAACTTTATGTTCATAGCTTTTCACATTGAGGCTCAAAGGGATGACCAATGTAAAACAATGTGATCAAACAGCATCACATCCAATTAACAATGCAATAGGACTAGGGTGGCAAAAAAATAGAAATGATGCAAAAGAAAAAGTATAGGATGATATGTCACAACTAAAAAACAGAATTACTAAAGTAGAAAACAATACAGTAAAAGCAAGATAACACAATAAACCCCGGAAGAGACTACCACCTAAATATTTGTGGTAGCAATAATTAGAAAGTATGGTCATCAAAATATAGTCCTTTGAAGGCTGAAAAGGAAATCTGGCTTCTAAATTTGGGGGGGGGGGGGCCCTCATAAATCCAAAGAAAACTCATCAAAACCTGTATTACACCCAGCCTTGAGAGCAACTGCAGACACCCAGTCAACTCAAAGTACTGATTATCATATACAAGGCGCTTCATGGTCTTGGACCTCATTTCTGCAGGGCCGCTTCTTCCACTATGCTCCGCAGAAACAGCTTCGTTCGTCTTGGCAAACCCTTCTGAAGGGCTCCCCCTGCAAATGGCTTAAGTTCAAGAGCTGCCAACTCTGACAAGGCACCCACAAGGGAACTAGGCAGCCGGTAAACAAGCAGTATATCCACACTTTCCCAGAACCCACCAGAAGAAGCAGATAATCAATGCTAGCAATAGTTTGCCCTGGGAGTCTATGAAAGGGGAAACAGTACAATAATAGCCTCCCCTATTCCCCAGCCTGTGGTGTAGGGTTTAATGAAGGACTGCAGGAGGAGTTAATTGAGACAGACTAAGCACACCATTTTCTTCCAATGAAGTCTTGGTCACGCTAGCCAGATTTCCCCCTCCTCCGACCACCTACAGCACAATATCAAAGAAAATGCAGAAAAAATAGGGACCTTTGCACCAGAATCTCTTGGGATTAGATGGCATTTTGTCATGGATTTAGTGCTGATTTTTTCTTTCATTTTATTTTTTGGTGAGGGGTGTGTGTGTGTGTCTGTTGACTTCTGGCAACTCCTAATGGGACTTGGATGTCTCAGAGAGGTGGCTTACTATTATCTGCCTCTGCGTCTCAGCCCCGGTCAGCCCTGCAGCTAGATGATTTTCCGGGGGGGGGGGGGCGCCAATGACATCACGTTGGATGTCACAGAAATAATAAAATAAAAATAGGAGAGCATTTACCTCATTCTTCCAGTGAGTGATCTTCAAGGACAATTAATCCAAATAGTTTGCCATGCAACATTTCGAAAGGACTGCTAAAGCAATACAAACTCAAAACCTTCTCGAGCTCGTTCTCAAGGTTCGGGGGGGGGGGGGGGGGGGGAGGCTGCAGTAAGAACCTCATGGTTCTTTTCTATGCATTTAAATAGTTCCAGTCTCAGACTTGATCATTGTTTGATCTTGCAAGGGGAATGAAGGGAAAGAAGAGGCGCCCATATTCCACTTGAGAAAACAGGAGGCGAGTAGGTCAGCTCCCAGCTGCGGATGTCAGGGGACAAAACAGGAAGTGGTTGTAGAGTACCCACAGAGGAAAGATGTTTGTGCAACTTTACCTGCAAGGCAACGACTAT